CATTTTTAAGAGGATACAATTTCCTACAATCCATATTCACACCCCAAGATCAAGAAATGCACTCACAATAAGTTACAAATTTGGACATTATAGGTCATTTTTGAAAGTCAACAAAAACACCTTTTTTTCCAAAGCTTATAACTTGAGCATGGAATATCAAAATGAGATGATACCAAAAGGGTTGGTTATAGGACATCTCAAGGTTTCTAAAAAGTCCAAGAAAACCTCCAAAAGTTCAAAGTTGAAGAAGTTATGCATTGTTGAAGTTGGGCATTTTTCCAAAATTGCCAAAAGTCAACTATCCTCAAAACTTCAAATTTTGTCAAATGGGCCCACTCTTTTCCACTTGATTTGATCTTGTCACACTACACACGTGTCCTAGCTTCAGTCTTGTTTCCATTTATTAATTTTTCTATTTTATTTAATTTTTTATTAAATTAATTCATTTTAAATCAATATAAATCAAATAAAATCCTAATATTGATTACTTAGGATCTTTTTGGTTGTTATAGGTCTTAATTATCATCATGGTCACCATCAAATTCGTATCAAGCCTAATCATGTGCAAAAATATTGAATCAAATCAAATTTGGAAGGTTTAATAATGGAGAATCATCAAATATGGCATTTTTTTCAAATCTTGATCATGGTCTTAAAACACAACATTATGTGGGAGATTATTTCCATGCTTTCTTGTCTCCTCATTCTACTCTATAAATAGAGAGCCACACAAGCTTGAAAGACACGAAAATCCTCTCTAAAAAGCTCTCAAAAAGCTCTTCAAAAAGTTCTCTAAAAGCTCTTCAAAAAGCTCTCCAGAAATCAAAGAATTGGTGCAAGTCATATCTCGAGGTTCCGACCTCTCACAATTGACGTCAAGCCTCAAACCATACTCTTGAAGTCCTCGTGAGTCTTACAAGGCCCAAGAGCAATCCATCACACGCCTAGCACGCCCACCGGTTTGGTAAAATTTTAAATTTCGAATATCTAATTTTAATCACATTTTATGGTATGCTAACGTTTGTTTGAGTTTATATAGAACAATTATAGATGGTTGAATCATAGGTTCCACGCGAGAATCAAAAAACACCATAGTTATATCATGAAGCTTTCGAAGATCCGAGCTCAGGAATGCTTTCTGCACCCTCCAAAAAAGGCTTAATTTCTCTACTTTCTCATATTTTATTTATTTGGTTTAATTATTTTATTTTTACTTAATTAATTTACTAACCAATAACAAATTTTCTTTTTATAAAAAAAATCACAAAAATATCATTTTATCCAATTAAAATTAAGAACTTTATTTTTCTTTAATAAATTCCGATTAATTAATTAGGTTTTTAATTCTAGGAAACTTTAATTTTTTTTTGTAAATAAATAAAACTAATTAGAATTTAATGGGTTTAATAATTAATTTAACCATTCCATTTTCTTTCTTTAAATAACCAAAAATCCAAAAATAACCTTTTTTTTCATTTAATTAATTAATTTAATTTAATGTAGTGATTAATTTAGATTTATTTCTTTCTTAAAATATAAAAAAACCACAAAATATTTTCTTTATCAAATTAAATTCTAACTTTTATTTTTGTTAATAAACATTAATTAATTGATTTAGAATTTTAATTAGAATAACTTTCACATTTTTGTAAATAATTAAAATTCAATTAGAATTAATCTAGGTTTTAATTACTAACATTAATTTTGATTTCTTTCTTAAAATACCAAAAGACCAAAAATAATTTATTTTTATTCATCAATTTAATTAATTTAATTTAGTAATTAATTTAGGCTTTAATTAGACAATAACTTTAATATATTTTTGTAAATAATAAAATTAATTTAGACATAATTAGGATTTATTAACATTGATCAATTTTATTTTCTTTATTTAAATATCAAAAAACCCAAAAATATTTATTTTCATTAATTAATTAATTTAATGTAGTTTAATAATTAACTTAGATAATTTATTTCTTAAAATTATAAAACAAACAAAAAAATCTTTTCTTTAACAAAAAGGGTCAAAACCCTAGAACTTTGCGCTCGATTTAATTTCCCGCACGCGTTTGTTTATTTTTATCATATTAATGTACTTGCCTCCGGTTTGTAATAGATAATTAGGACTTTAAATATTTTTACCGCTTTATTTATTTTCCGCATTTTAATTTCAAGGGTTGCTTTTGGCGATGTAAATACCCGGCGCCTTGTAATAGTTAGTTTAATTTCTGCAATTTAATTTCCGCAATTTAATTTCTGCAACTTATAAACTGTTAGATGCTTGATAATAGGGAATGCATGACAAGATTGAATGTTTAACTTAAAATCAACATAGATAACCATTGACATGTACAAAGATAAAATAAACTAAAAACAACACACTCGCACATGCGCACTCTTAGGGTACACCTCACTTGGTTGCATTCGAACGTGGTCATTGAGTATAGGAAGTTTTAGAGGTCGCCCTCTTGTCCAAAGATCATAGTTGCCTCGGAAAAATGATCTAAGACATTAGGGTTACCGCTAAGGCGTCCTAACATTGCTTTAGTGACCACACGTCCCTTAATCGAATTGACCCTCAAAACTCCAACGACGATGCTACCTACTCATCAATAGTGGGATAGCGTTGTCTAAAGGACATTAGCACAGATTGGTTCCTTTTTCGAGTAGGTAGATGGTTCTTAAGTACTTGCTCCTTTCAAAATAAAATAAAACCTTTTGCACTTACACCTTTCAAACAAAAACTTCTTTCAAACCCACAAACACAAAGAAAAGCAATTTTTGAAAACAATATGAGCAAGTACCTAAGAGCCCGTGGATAACCACAGATAGAAAGGGTGATAACACCTTCCCTTTCTATAATCTACCCCCGGACCCGAGAAACATCTCGAAAAAGGAATTTTTCTGTGCTTTTTTCCTTTCCTTGTTGGATAAAATAAAAGTCGGTGGCGACTCTTGCTTACCGCGACATTTTGCAAACACAAACGCAAAACACAAACCAGCATTCCAAAAAACAGTCGGTTCTCTCCCACCGTATGACACCATCTTTTACAAGGTCCCAAAGACCTTGACACCTGAATAAGACTTTCATCTGTTTGCACAAATTCTCATAATTGTCAACTTTCAGAATTGGTAGCGTTGCTGGATAGTTTGCATTCCCATAACTTGTCATCGTGAATTCTTTAATCGTTCTTGATTGATACTTCCCTTGAATAGAAATAAAAGCTCTTGATACCAGATGTTGGAAACTCACCAAAGTCTATGATGAATTTCTACCACAATGACAATTTAATTATGAGACAAACAAAGAAAGAAGACAAGACAAATAATTTCTGCAGAGTTTCTCTCTGCTCACAAACTATGAAAACTTTCTTATTCACTTTGCAACTGCAAAATACTGTGAATGACTTGATTGACTTGCTTACAAAAATAGGGGTTACTCCCTTTATTTATAACTGAGCTTACACCCTAAGCCCAAAGCCCAAAATATCTTTTTGTTACTAAATCAAATCTAATTTATTCTAGACTTAAATCAAATCTATTTAAATGTAAAACAAATCAAATCTTTTCGACACATAGTTTCGACACACTAGATTATAATTTAATAATAATGACTATCTAAGCAAGTGTTTGTTACTAATTATTCTAGCCTTCTATTCCAGCATGATTAAAAAGATGCACTCCTCCATTAGAATTCTCAATAGATCAAGCCTTATATTCCCCCGTGATTAAAAAGATGCAGTCATCCATTAGAATTCTCAATGGATCAGATAGTCCATTTGATCTCTGTAGTTTCTAGAATTCTCAATGGATCGGAGAGGTACACTGTAAAGAAGAAGAAAAATATGACAGGTTCACTTTGAGTTAAATACAGTAGAAACTCTTTAAGTTAATATTCCGTAAATTAATAAACTCTCTAAAATAATAAGTTAGTCTGGTCTCGACTTGGACTAATGTAAAAAATTGAAAAATTCGATAAAATAATAAGATAATTTTTTGGGAAATCCCTTTATAATTTTCGGTCCCAAGAAAATCATAAATTAATAATTCATAGAAACTGGAAAAAATATATTACACTCTATTGAAATATGATTCAATAGTTGTCTGTTTTCCTTTAAAGTTCAAGTCTATTTGGAGCTCATCTCTAACTTTTCTTATTGCATCCAATAGCTCAGGTGTTGTATTTTTGTATTGTATCATAAAGTTATGAAGAGTGTTCGACGCCATAAGTGCTCCTTTTGCGTAACAGGCTCTAAAGACACCGTATCATCTCCGCCGTCATCCTCTGCATTATTCTTAATGATAGTATCCATAATATTTTCTAAACTCTGAACCTCCGAACATGCTTCATTTTCACCTGGGTAGTTCATTATATTGTCGATATCCATCTTATTACGATAGCCACATTGATTGATCATAGTCTCGAGGTCTTGAGTTTCTTAATCAAAAGTAGATTCATCTAAATCTCTTGCAACGTCACTAGATGATCGAATTTTACAATGTTGGAAGCAATTCGCTATTGTTTCTTTTCGAACATCTATCGTCCAAGTTAGGATTGCCAAATGATAGCATCAAGGACATTTATCTTCCCTGGATCAGATTGTTACACCTCATAATATTCCAATATTTTGCGGTAAAACCTTTTACGGTAATGCACCTTGAAAGCTCTTATTATCCCAGCATCGCAAAGTTGAATCTTTGATGTCATGTTAGGTGGCAAGAAGAACAACTCAATGTTTCTTAGCCCTTCAATATTTCTTGGATGTGTTGGACAATTATCCACCACAAGTAGAACTCTTCTACCATGTATCATTTGGTCAAATGAACGAACATATTCATAAAAAAAAAAAACACTAGTCATCCATGCTTTTTTGTTAGCTCGATACTGACAATCCAAGCTATTCGTGTTGACATTCTTGAAGCAACGAGGCTTTGCATATTTCCCAATAATCCATAGAGGGATTTTTCCAGAGCATCTTCATTGCAACAAATAACTATCGTCAACCTTTCTTTATCTTGTTTTCTTCCTTCAAGTTGTTTTGTTGCCAGTGAATGATCAACTTGTAGCCTATAAAACCTCTCATTTCATCCATATTGAAAACATCTTTCATAGGAAACTGATCAATTTTCTCCCGAATCGATACCAATTTCTGCTCCATGTCTTGTACATCAACAGACCCACTCTCTCCAAAATGACGAAATGACTTTATGCCATGTTGGTGCTTGAATTTCCCAAGTCATCCTATAGAGAAGTTAAAATCTGAATCATCATGAGGGTACACGAGTTTCATTGTATCTCTTGCCTTCTGCAAAATTAATTCTTCTGTGATATTCACACGTTCTTGATGTTGGAGAAACCACTCATAAACAACCTTCTCCGTGTCAGAATATTTTGATGGTTTGTGTCTTTTGATCTCTTCTCTTTCCTTTTCTATTTCAGCAGACAGATAGTCATCTGACCGCTTAAGTGTGTTTGATATTGTTCCTTGAGTAACTTTCAACTGAAATTTTCTCTCAAGCCATCTCTGCAAGTCTTTTTGTGTGCTTGCAAGATTATCTCTCTTGTATTCACACAACTCCTTGGTTTGATTACTCTTGTTCCTCTTGTTTACATTTAGTGTACTTCAAAAGTCATTATTGATTTTCAATGCATATGAACACAATAGTTACTAATTTACATTGAGTCTCAATGTTCGCTACAACGTAATTCTAAGAGGCATAGACTAATTTTCCTTTTTTGTTTAGTATGTATAATATAATTACTTAAAAACTTTTTAAATTAATAATCATTAATTTATCGATAAATTAATAACTCTCAAAATTAATAAATTTCTCTTGTCTTGACATTATTAATTTAAAGAGTTTCTACGGTATAACCTTAAAATAAATTAAGGTCTAACAATATGTCTATAGAAAAAATGACATATGAAAGTTTAGAACCTTTTTGAATTTATACAATTCAAACATAACTTAACCTTCTCAGTTTAGCCAGGCATTACCTTAATGTTAATTCTTACTAATACTAAGATCATAATGAAAACTGAAAAAACCGGAACACCAACAGTAAAAACACACATTGTGAGAAGTCGCCATATACCATAAGTAAGCAGTTCATGTACTATTTTTCCATTGTCGGGGAGAACAAAATATACTTGTTTAACAATCCTTGCATCCTGATGCAAAAAAAGAACATGGAACAACATGTAAGTGAGTGGAATCTTCTAGTGTGAGTGCATGGGTGGCCCCTCTGATTGCTCCCACAACTGCAGTATTTATCCACATCAAACAAAATTAACGATGTTGAGTGTAGAATGCCAAAATACAGAACAACTTCAATTGAAATCACGGTACAAAGTTTAAGAAGTATTCACAATATTGCAACGGCAACATAAAGTTTTACCAAAAACTCTGCACCAGTCACCAAAAAACTTGTCAGCTCTAAAATCAACTGCAACAAAGCAGTTATTAGTTCCATTTCAATAACAAAATCACAAAGCAATATATAGTAAATAAATTCAAAATTGATGAAAAATAATAGGGAAAATATCACAAAACCTAATAAATCTCCTTGAAACACTGACCCTAAAATACATTATTGAGTGTGGTTTAGATAAATTGATATTTCAAGTAATAGTAGTTCTTATTATTGAGTATGGTTTAGATAAATTGATATTCCAAGTAATAGTAGTTCTTATTATTAACCTAACATATTATAAAGAGAAAAAGTGACTAACGGCGACTAATGGCTTTGAGGCAGAGAGCTTTCACTTCTGATTCTTTCAGAGGCTTCACTTTAAATCCAAATAGAATAAACGAACAAATAAGTTTATGTCCATCAATTCGCAAATCCCATACAATCTATGCAGATAACCACTATTTGTAATTAGAGAGTAATATCGCAATCATGCTTAAGTGATAGTGTTCAGATATAGTTGTAAAATGATTGGTAGTACTGCTTTAATTATAAAAAAAAAAAGAGTGATTCATCAGTCACTGGAATGAACTTGCTTTGAGTTGAGTTCAAACCATAATTTGATCTGAGTTGCCTTGAACCTTATCCTAGATAAAAGTCTTTAACTTGGTTTTGGGAGTAAAGACAACTGTAGCAAAAAGAAAAAGTAAAGACAACTCGTTTCACAGATGGTGATTTCACACATGATTTAAGAATGCTAAGAGTTCTCTTCACTGTCGGATCAATCAACTCATCCTAAAATATAGAAATAAAAAATTAACGGTGTATTATTGGAAGTAGCCAAATAAGTCATCATGTGAAGTTTTTCATATTAAGAGTCTTCATAATGCATGTATCCTTAAAAAACAGAATGCTTATAGACAGAGAGAAAAACTCAAGCCATTTTAACTCCGTGCAGAGTAGGATAAATCGATAAAATATAAGCATAAGATGCATAAATGGAACAGAGTCTTGAACCAAAATTCTCTCAACTACACATGACACGAAAAAAAAAAAGTAGAAATGAAACACAGTGGTGCACCGTGTGATTCTTCTCCAAGCATAGTAGCCTAGTAATAGAAATCATCAAAATCATTTGAAAGCAAAATATAATAGCTTGAGATATCAATTTAAATTGAACTTATTCTATAAATGATAAGCCATAACTTGCTTAGATTTATTTTCAATCTGTAATATAATAGATTTGCTGCTCATAGAAGTATCTCGTTGTAGACCAATGCAAATTGGAGCTCTGGTAGCTCCATTCTCACCATTAGGCTGAAGAAAATAATTATTAACTATCACTTTCACTTCAAATTTCATTTCATCTACAAAATTGAGATTATACTGTTTCAAACACCTAACTTAACAAAACTGGATGTCCCTTAAACTGTTCAAAACCGCAGATTCACTGCACCTTACAAAATCGAAATCCAAATTGAAATTGAAATCACAATATGATGAATTAGAAACTATGATTAATGATTATGAAGAAATAAAATGGATAAGACTTACGTTGTCGAGAGCAACAACGTTGAGGAAAGTTCAAGGTCTTCAAGAACGGGTTGTTTCGTCGATAAATTTGTCAGCAAGCATCGCCGACGCTTGACGCATGAATAACACTTGCCTGGATTCATGGAAAGCAATGTCTGGTACAATTTCTCACTTTCTTCTAAGTAATATCATATGCATCTAATCGAAGAGAAAAAAATTCCATAAGAAAAAAAGTCAAACTAAATAACTTAAACCTACATCAAACACTTAAGTAAGAAGTTGATTACTCACCCACTAAACCATGAAGAATCTAGCACACAATCCTAATCCAAAGCAGTACCTAAAAAAACAAAAATTTCAATACATTCAGCTAAAACAAACAAAAGGGTGTCTCCAAAAAATATAAAAATCAAAACTTTATCAATGAAATATCTCTAACACAACAACAGTTTGAACAAAAACCTAAGATATTTTTGCTGCAGTGCATACATGTTCATAACCCAATTCCTTCAATGTTTTCAAAGACAGATAAATGACTCGAAGCCCGCATAAATTGAATAGGGGATCTGAGAGAAATGCACAAAAATGGAAAGCATTGGATATGGAAAAAGTCCTGTTAATGAGCGGTTTTAGCTTTGTCGGTCGAGGGCGATTGGCCGGAGATTCAGTGGGACTGCGTTGAAAGGTGTTGGTCGTGATTCACATCGAAGAGGGAGTGTGAGTTGAGGGCGACGGCGGGCGGTGGCCGTCGGATTTGTTGCTGCTGTATTGTCGGAGTCGCGAGCGGAAGTTATAGGTGATGGCAGTGATTTGTTCCAACTTTCCTTCTTCTTTTATTTGGTTATAAAAAAAAACCCAGATAGTTGTGGTTGGAAGAAAAAAAGGGAAGAAGGAAGAAATACGATAGAGAGAGAAATATAAAAATGAGGTATTATGTTTGTGATTCACGGGTCGGAAATTCTTTTTATGTAGTTATTTTGGCTTTTAGCATGTAATTGAACCTGGACATTTTTTCCTATATAAATGGCATTGTATTTGTGCAGTAAACAATAACAATAACAAATCAGTTAGATAGTTAGTTACATATAACTAACTCATCATTCTCTCTCTCTCTCTCTCTCTCTCTCTCTCTCTCTCTCTCTCTCTCTCTCTCTCTCTCTCTCTCTCTCTCTCTCTCTCTCTCTCTCTCTCTCTCTCTCTCTCTCTTCTTCTTATTGTTTTCACGAAATCATCTTTCTTGAATCCCTTGTTCTAACAAATTGGTATCAAGAGTTTGTTTGCAATTCAGAGAGAATCTAATGGCAAACGGATCAACACATCAACACAGTTTCCAGCAAATTTACATATTTTCAAAGGTGAAAACTATCAATGATGGGTGGCACAAATGAAGGTTATTTTCAGATTTCAAGATGTTGTATAAATCTTGAATGATGGAATTTCAAAACTGAAAGTAGATGCAACAGAAGCCCATAAAGTTGCACACAAAGATCAGAGGAAGAAAGATGGCAAGACGGTTGTTGTACCCCAAAATTTGTCATCTCTTTTCTCAAGACATTTTCTCACAAGGATTTATTAAAGTTCAAGATTTCACAAGTATAATTGAATTTTTAATGCCCCACATAGTTGTCATGGATCATATTAGATTTTCAAGCATCAAGTCAAAGAGGAAACTGTTGAAAGAGCAAAGTAGATAAATTTGATTTTTTTTTACAAAATTGAAGAAAAACAAGCTTGCTTCGATTTATACTAGCTTCGACTGGGCATTGCTTTGATTCATACTAGCTTCGACTTGACATTGCTTCAATTCATGCTAGCTTCGACTGAACTCCTTCCTTCATGCTAGCTTCGACTGGGCAAAGTCTCCCTTTGAAGCAGCTTGCTTCGATTTAGAAAGCAATGACCTCCTGCAGGTTTGCTTCGATTTAGAAGGCAATAGACTCCTGCAAGTTTGCTTCGATCCAGAAGGCAATGGCCTCATGCAGGCTTGCTTTGATTCACAAAGTAGTGGCCTTCTGCATGCAAGCTTCATTTGGACAATGGTTATCTCCATACAAGCTTCAATTGGGCATTTGGCCTCCTACGAGCAAGTTTAATCTACAAAGCTTCAATTGGAGTGCTGGTTTCCTTTGAAGCAACATACTTCGAATCCAACTTTGAACCCTTCGAGCAAGCTTGGTTGAAGAACATTGATCAAATCTCATAGCCTTATTGTCCAAATCTCACTTGTCAGGCTATGTTGTTTCCAAATCTTTACATAATCAGAGGCTTACACAAATTTGTGATACATTACACAAAGATTCGAAGTTTTATCCACTAGATTATACCATTTTTGGATGAAATGGCAAAAAGCTACATATCTTTTTTCATAAAGATTACTTTAATCACAAAGTTAGTTTTTTGAGCTCCCAACCTGATTTTATCTGAACACAAGCAGTGTCAAAAGCATAAGTAAAATCTCCTGCAAACATCAAGCCCCACTTGTACTTGAACTTGGGAACCATGAAAATCCATTAAACTTGATTTATTTTCGTTTCCCACAAAACATAACATGTTATCTCAGGGTTCTGGTTACTACAAACCTTTTCTCTATAAATAGAGAGACCCTTTGCAAATACAAAGAGAAGACTTTGGTTGGGTGGAAAAAATCATCAAACACTCTCAAACACTCTCAAACTCTCAAAATCTCAAACTCTCTCAAACTCTCAAACTCTCAAACTCTCAAACTCTCAAAAAATCTCAAACCGCTTCATGCATTAGTGAACCTTTCGATTCACTCCATATATCAGCCTTTCGATTCACCACCCCCATAACTTCCATATACCAGCCTTAGAACACTCCAAAAGCCCTCAAAAAACCCACTCAAGGAAGTTAGTGAGCCTTTCGATTCACTCCTAACTAACCTTCGATTCATTGATTTTCAAAACAAAGCAGCAATTGAAATAGCTTCAGGAAAGTCCCTGCAGGCTTAACCCATCATCGAATCATTCCTGGAAGTCATATAGAGCTCATTCCTGGAATCATTCTTGGAATTTTTCATTCAAACATCATTTGTACATACAATAAAAGAAAAAATATAGACATCATGTCTAGGAAGTTGACCATACTCTTAGCTTTCGATCATCATTGCTTGTACATTTAAAAAAGGTTCATCTCTGAACAATTAGGCTTTGGTTTTGATATTTCATGCTGACCTTTGACCCAATAGCTTTCGAAAGTTACATGGTTAGATTTGTATTCAGATTTTAAGCAGGTTTTTATATCTTTTGATTGGTTGAAGAATGAAGCTTTTCGAAGCTTAACATTAGAGTTATGTATCCTTGTGCTCGAAGGAAGAAGCTGGACATTTTAAACACGAGTTCAGTTTATACCTAATCGAAGTTATCTTATGAACGGATGAAACAGACCACCCCAGTGATACAAATAGCGTACGCTAAAGCCTAGCCATGTAGAAGGTTCTGGGTTCAAGCCCTAACGAGACCTTTTGTTCATCTATCATGTTTTCTCACTCTGTTTCGGTTGCAGGAAATACACTTGGGCCTCCACAATTGGGCTTTGACGTTTTTATGTTTCTGAATCCCCCTGCTTACTAACATAAAAACTGCCCAAACACAAAACTGTTTTTTACATAAAAACTATTTTAAACACAAAAACTGTTTTCTACACAAAAACTATTTTAAACACAAAAATTGTTTTCTACACGAAAACACCAAAAATATATTTAAATTATTTTGTTTATTTTATTTAAATCCTTACAATGAAAAAAGACCAAAAATGTTTTTCTACTTATTTTCTTTTCTTTAATTAAATTTCCTTAACAAAAACAAAACAAATCTATTCCTTTTTCCATTTTGTCTTGTACATTATATTCCTTATACATTGTTCAAAATTCAATATGGTTGTGATAGATAATTAGGATTTAATTTCTTGCAAATCCCCATTTGTAAATTTATACACCCTATCTCCAAGTGATGTAATAGCATAGTAAATTTACTTTCGGCAATTTACCACTTTCATATAAATGCTAGTAAATTAGGGTGTGTATGGCAAAACTAAAATCAACCGTTAGAAAACCCTAATTTCAAAGACAAAAATGCATGCAATCAAACACACTATTCACACACATGCACCTCTAGGGTAACCTCACTTGTTACTTCAGAAAATAGTCATGTCCCTCGAATATGAGCGTTTTAGCAAAGACCCTCAATAAAAAGATCGTAGTCCCTCGATGTCCCTCGATGTTGCCTTCGGTAAAAGATCTAGTCCCTAACGAAAATTGCTAAAACGTCTCATAGGTTGCCTTCTATGACTATACAATTGACCCACGCCCGTCCCTTCACATCCAACGACAGGGCTTCTTACCAATCAATGGTGAGATAGCAACATCTAAAGGAGGAGGAAAAGAACATAGACCTTTTGAGTAGGTAGGACGCTCGTAGTTTCTTGCTCGTAAACTAAAACCATTTCCACACTTACACTTTTAAAAACACCTTAAAAAACAAACATCTCTTTGAACTATTTTCAAAACTAACACTTTGTATGTATTGTTATAGAGACGAGAATCATTACAAAGTTCTCTGCAACAAAGGCATTTTGCAAAATACTTTCAAACTTACACCCACCATAAGCACACTTTCAAACAAAATCATTTTCAAGTGATATAGAAAGAAACTAAGAGCCCGTAGATAACTAAAATGAAAAGGGTGTTATGGTGTAGTGGGAGAACTGACTAAAGGTTTTGCATTTCGTTTGCACTTGTTCGGTTAGCAAGAGTCGCCACCGACTTTTCTTTTATCCAAAAGGAAAGGTAAAAAAGCACAGGAAATACCTTTCGAGAATTTTCTCGGGTTCGGGGGGTAGATTATGAAAAGGGAAGGTGCTAGCACCCTTTTCATCCATGGTTTTCCATGGGCTCTTAGTTACTTGTTTTAGATCACTTGCTTTTGTTTGATTGTGTGCTTGTGGTGTGGGTTTTGAAAGTATTTTGGAAAGTTTCTTTGTAATGGTTCTCGTCTCTATAAGAACATATACAAAGTTTTGTTTCGAAAAATAGTTCAAAGAGGTGTTTGTGAATCGTGTTTCGAAAAGTATTTTGAAAAGAGGTTTTGCAATGGTTCTCGTCTCTATAAGAATGTATACAAAACATTTTGTCTTTTGAAAGTGTTTTGAAATTGAGGTGTAAGTGTAAAAGTTTTTGTCGTGAGCAAGCGAGTAACTAAGAGTGAATTTGTCTACTCGAAACGTCTTAAGTTGTTCTTTTATTCTTCTTTTTAATGGTGCTATCTTACCATTGATTTGGTAAGAAGCCCCATCATTGGATGTGAAGGGACAGTTACGGGTCAATTTTACAATCATTGAAAGCAACTTGTGAGACGCTCTAGAAATTTTATAAGGGACGAGATCGTTTTATCGAAGGCAACATCGAGGGTCATCGAGGGACTATGATATTTGTTTATCGAAGGGTCATTTGCTAGAGTGTCTCATATTCGAGGGACGTGATTGTATTTCCGAGGCAATGAGCGAGGTTACCCTAGAAGTGCGCGTGTGAAAAGTATATTGATTTCAAGTTATTTATTCTTGGATTAGGTCATCTAGCGATTGATTTTTGAATCTTGCCATACATGCATAATTACTACACAGTATATAGAAAGCAATAAATTGCGGGAATTAAAATTCTAAGCTATTACAAAAGTATTCGGGAATGGGGGTACAATTATTACAAATGGGGATGAATCACATAAAAATAGCAATGTCCAAATAATACAACCAAATTGAATTGTTGTGCGATTTAATACAAAGCTAAGACAATTTATGAAATAAAATCAACAAGGTATGAAATATATGTATTTACTTGAAAAGAGAGAAATAAAATATATTCTAAAAAAAAGAAAGATTAAAATTTTTATTGTTATTATTCTTTTATGTATTTTATTAATTTAAAAAGAAAAGTTTAAAGAAAGGAAACTAATTAAACAAATTATTGATTTTTGGTATTTTATTAAATGTAAAAAAAAATTAATAAAGATAAATTAAAAGAAAGTGATAAACAAATAACTTCAAGATTTAAATTAATTTAATAAAAAAAGATTGAGTTTTATTAAGCATAAAAAAAATAAAACAAATTGAAAAGGAGAAATGGGCTTAAGAGGTTTTAGGCTCAAGGGGAATTTGCCTTATTCCTAAAACAAACAAAAGGCAAAGGGGGGTGGGGTGAACCAGAAAGCGTGTGGGCTTAAGGGTTTATGGACCGGACCGGCCCAATTCTTTAACTCTGTCCAAATTGGTTAGGGGAACAAAGAAATTAGGGTTTGTTGTTTGCGTTTCTCACAGCGGCGCCGCTCTGTCCCCTTTCGTTCTCCCTTCATCTTTCTCACTTAATCGTCCCTATTTGTCCCTGATTCATGAGTGAAACCCCCCCTTGACCTCTTGGTCTTACTCTGATTTACATTTTTTTTAGGAAATCCCTAAGTTCTGAAATGGATTTATCAAAAGGGGTTTGAAACGCGTTGATCTGATCTTCTCTCTACCCTTAAGTTGTCGGAGCTCTCTTTCTCTCACCTCCTCACAATGATCAATGGTTTTGCTTTTAAAAGGTATGGTTCTGCTTTGAAAAGGTATGGTTCTGCTTTTTGGCTTAACAGTTTCATAGATTTCGTATGCTTTGTTCATGTTTTTTTCTATTTAACCTATTGTGTTATGCTTGAGACGCAGGAAGTGTTATGAGGGAGATAAAGTAGTCATACCTGTGGAATTTTCTATGAAAAGAAGAGGAAAGGTGAGATGGAAAATAAATCTCCCTGGTGGCTGGAGGCGTGAGGAGGAGAAATGAGGACGAAGCGTGAGCTTTTCTGGTAACTTATTTCTGTCCCTTGAGCTTTGAAGGATGTTGTACTTCTGACTTTGTGATTTCTTCGTGCTTTTAATGATCCTGTTTGATGATGATGATGTTTCTGAGTCTTGATTTTCTTGTAAGTTTGCTGGATATTATTTTGATACTTTGACAGCTTGATGGTTATAGTTTGATGATGTTGGGTATCTGGAATTTGTTGCTATTGGTTTAAGATTAGGCTTGGTTCTTTGATCTGTATGTTTAGACTGTTTGAATGTTTTGTGATTTGAAAACTGTTTTTATAGTTTGGGAGTTTGAAAATTGTTTTTGACGGATGAGGCTTGATGATTTCAGTTTTGAGTTTCTTTGAAAGTTTGCAGGTTTGGTGTTGTTTGGGACTTGTTATGCAGGTTTTGGAAACTGTTTTTTCTTGGTTTGAACTGGTTTCACAGTTTTTGGAAGTTTAAAAATTGTTTTTTATGGTCTTGGTTGTTTGAACTGGGTTGTTGGTTTGGTTAACTGAGTTACAGGTTTTTGAAACTGTTGAAGGTTTAATGCTGGGATGATTTTGTGGTTTGTTCTGCTTGTTACAGTTTTGTTTTAACTGTTTGGACTTGGATATGCAGGTTTTTGATTTGTGTCTTTTTGGCTTGAGATCAGTTTATGATTATTGAATGTTCTTGTTGTTTTGTTTTGGGTTGATGAGGATGTTGGACTGTTTTTGTTTGACAGTTTGAGGCCTCTATGAAGGTTGTGAAAACTTGGAGGTTTTTTTATTTGTTGGGTAGGTTTGGAGGTTGAAATGTTACAAGCTTGAGAGTTTTGTTTTGCTATGCAGTTTTGTTTTCTCAGTTTGACAAAAAATGTTCTCCTCTTGCTTGAGCCTTTTCTGTTATATCTTGATTGCTTTTGTTTTACAACTTACTCTATGTAACTTGTGACAGTTTGTGGGCAGAGTAGCAAAGTTGTACCTTTTGTGCAATTCCAACAA